AAATATGAATGAATGGAAATATATTATAATTTGTCCGTTACAGCGTACCCTGAAACTGAAGTATTATTGTCGTGACACATTCTACGTTATATGGTCCAAGTTGCTATTATAGTCCTATTTTCTTTCTTTTTATAACTAATATCTAATGCATCCCCTTGACTTTTTTCTGTTACTTTATATTTTTAGCTTTCTTTTTGATGCTGCCCGTTTGCCCTTAGTGACAGATGGCCGACATCCGGCTTATACAATTTCTCAGAAAATAGGACGTGGGGCTGTTCGAAAAAACAAAACAAACGCATAACACAAAATAAATAATTCACAAAATAAATGTCAGCATGTCTTACATACAATCGTAACGAATGGAAACTACATATGGATGACACCGATCAGTGTGTTTATAAGTAGATGCTTTGATATAGTGTAATTATCCTATCAGAACCCAATACATGAACAGAGAAACTGTTATCATTTCGTTGAGTCCACACTGTCCAGTTTCGTTGTTTGCTGAGTTTTAATTTGACACATACTCTCAGTTATGTGTTCATCAAATAAATTATGTTGTCAGTTTGTTGTTTACAATCCAAGCATGCAACATAACATAAATCTGACCTGGTCCATTTCAGACTACTCGTAAGATACAACCCCGCACCATGGCAAATGCTATAACTAATTAATACCGACGGATTTAGGGACAGGCGGAATAAACATAAACGGTGAAGACACGGTCGTTTATAGCTCATTACATCGACGGCGACTGTTGGCGAGACATTGGTATGTGGTGAACGATCACCAATGTCATCACAATCCCGGTTTACATGACTCGCATTTTAAGGTGGACGCCTACTCATCAGTTATCATAACAAATGCTTAATTAACTTAACATTGCTCATTGTCATGGGTATTGTAAAACAACATCCTGTTCTGTGCTATAAATTTATATTTTTTAAGAAAATGGGCAGGATATTACGCAATAGTTGCTGTGTCGAGAACAGTTTCTGTGGAACGTGGCGATAAAGCATTATGTTATACCATATCTATCCTATTTCTGATAGATTAAAAAGAAATAAATAATGACAAAATACAACAGTCAAGCAAGATATGTACTAGTTTTACTGTATTGGACCATACAAAATATTGATAAATAAAGAAATGTCTTTATCAGATAGGAACAACTTGATACAATGGCTGCCGTTATTCAATTCACAACTAGTTGATTTTTACCACAAGAAATCGACATATGTACAACCAATATGCCGTTATGCACTGTGTGCGACATTACTTCCTTCCCCTGGAAATTCATATAATAAAACAATATATGCAGTCAGTCAAATCTCTCGAAGAACAAATAATGTTCACATCGCGTGGACTTTGGTAAACCTGAGTTTGGTCTTCTTAATTTCTGCTCGGATTAGAAAGATTTTAACGAAGAATTATAAATCAAAAGTGAATTTTTATTTGAGGTAGTTTGGTGCCAGGAGTGGTCTGAATTAATTACTTTTGTTTGTGACGGCAGACTGGTATTTATTTAAATGGATTCCTCAAAACATGACATGTAATTATGCGATTAATGCCACGTTTGGCATGCAATAAATACGAGAGTTTGTTGTAGAGTTGATGAGATTGCTAGACATTTTCATTGTAATAAAAACTGTCCCATCTTGAAGGATTGTTTTCTGTAGCGTGACCAACATTATTTTCTAATCCATGTCGGTCTGGAAATAGTTTTAGCGATAGTATTATCTAACGGACTTCTGGAATTGATGCATTAAATTCAAAGTGATATATCAGAGATAGAACAAATGACTGAAATGTCGTAATAAAAGATGAAAGTGGCCATTAAAACTACGTGTCTATGATTAAACATAGCAGTTACGTTACGTTAGTGTCACTATATTATTTGTATCTTGTTTACGCGCGATTCATTATATTCTCGCATATAAATCTAGTATACTCTTTTAACATCGTTCAATTCTTTTCAAAAGAAAATATTATATAATTGTAGCAAGCGTGTTTTTTCCCCCAAATATTCTTCCTACCTTATGCAGGCTTTCCGATTCAATCTGTCTAATGTCAGAAAAGAAAGATGTATATATAAATAAAATCCAATAATATATAAATTTCAATTAAATGAGTTTGAATTATGCTTTTAATTTTTTCTAGTCATACCACACTCATTTAAAGAAAATAATGAAAAATGTGAACTTATTTGGTGATTAGTTAATACCGTGTTGGATCACCGCTTACCTCACATATGATTCCTTCTCGTTGTTTGAGTTACCTATTTACATTTTTCCAATAATAAAATAAAGTTTTAAATATAATAAATGAAGTCATAATTTCATAGCTCATTAACATTTGCGTTACAAATAAGAACCATTTGTGATCTGTCATATGGATATCGATTCTGAAATGTATTTTAAATGAAATGGCAACGAATGCCTTAGTTAGTAGTTAGTTGTCATCATGATATATTGTATAAGAAATAATGAACAAATGGAAACACATCGAGCTACTGTCCTATATTCAGAATACTGCAATAACAATGCCTTTTATGTCTACATATCAAAGTGTTTGCTGTACTAACTGTGAGTTATATTTGAACTAAGGCCAACCAAGATTTAATATGTGCAGTGTTTTTTTTTAATAGTTTGGAAAACAAGGATTACAAATTATCAATTATGTGTCTCAACACTTCATTACCGGACGGGTATTATATTCATAATAGTTTATGAAACAAACTCCTGTGACATTCTCAGTATTATATAATATTTGAATATTGGCAAGTTACACATTTTTATTTCCCCACCTTCAACCGTCATCCTTCACATTGCAGGTCGTGTGATTATAATTGATCCATGACGTGGTCTGAAAAAAAAAACAGTTAACAAGAGTTATAATTCATACCTTTCTCAAAATGCAAGGTATTTTACACATTGGCCATTTTTGTTTGTGCACGGACATAATGGAAATGGTTTAGGCGGTAATTATAGCACACTGTCTTGTGGTGGCATAATGAGACAAATAATCTTTATCGAGGATAAAAAACTTAACCCGGTGCATGTTACATGAATTGTAAAGCGCCACGTACGGTGTGTACTGTTTAACCCTTACAAAATGCCTGGCATTCAAAGAGTTTGCGCCCTCACACTGGAAAATGAATGTGCTAAACAATCTGACGAGAGAGGGCATAAATGCATGGGAACGTGGATTGGCGTCAGGTACCAGGGCTTGTGGTCAAAAACTAGGTTGTTACATTGTTCTGTTATAGATAGCGTTTCAAGGTAAGTGTTGCAAAACAAGTGACCTGGCGGTCGAACTACACACTGGTTTTATATTGAAAAATATTCGGTACTAAATTAACTAATTCGATTTTTTGCTGGACAAACCATGTCATACACTTGCCAAGAACATCTGATATATTGTCGTGATTCTCGTTCGGTTTCCAAAGTCTTTGGACCAGGACAAGTGAGCACATGGTGACACCTTTATGGATAATAAACGGAATAATGCATTTAATTCAGGGCTTTTCTTTGGAGAAATCCACCGTGAGATTGTTATCAATCATTTTGGCACCCCAATAAGGGATTTCAGTGTTATTGTGACCAAAATCAAAGATGGCGTCGTTCCGGACATTGAATCATACTTCTGTCTCTCCTGTTTGTATTTCTATACAAATTGCAAGTTGTTCAAAACAACTTTTGCACTATTTTAGAATAACAAGAAGTTGATTATCGGCCTTGTTCCATATATAAAAGAATTTAGGATTTGCTAACGAACAACTTTGTAATGGTTACCAGTAATCATGAGTTCGTAACTGCAAGACCTGAGACATATTTATTACGAAGAGACGAACAAGAAGAATTTCTCTTCATATTTTCATACAGTATAATGTTTGGTTGCCGTTATTTTATCACATATACCCATGACCAATGTTATAATTCAGTGACCCCCGCTTAGGTCATGTCGAAGTTCAAGTGTCCACGCCAACCCACCTGCTCTTATGCAAATAGGTCAGTACATATGTAAAATCGCACACATACTAATCAATGTTGTTGACATTCCGTGCGTACAGTAGTAATACTAACGAGTTATGTAAGTAATATAAACCAGGGGCGATAGGGCCACGCCATCGATTTAAAGCTTCCGTTGCACTTACAAAAAATACCCACAATGCAATATGCCGATGACTTCCTGTCCATCAAATACAAATGAATGTGTGTGTCAACCCACAATCACTCCACTGTTGAGAAACTGTTGTCATCCTACGCATTCTACTGAGAGTTAACCCGTGTTGTGTCAGTGTAGTGAAAACACAACCGATGAGTTGAACGTTTGTTGGCCAAACACTTGTACATTCCGTGAGTGAATGTTTATGAATACAATCACGCTTTCTGCAGTGCAATTTAGAAAAATTTAACACGGTTATAGCAGCCTCTAACAGCGTAGTTAAATACCGCGTTTGTTGTCCCCCAGATAAACACAGATAAGATTATGCTGCGTGAGGGCGCTTAATTCGCTTAAAATCACAAATTAAGACCACGGTGGCCGTGGTCGCTGGTGTGCGCCCTCGTGAGATTGTCAACTGTTTCTGATCTGATGGTGAAAAACATTTTCCCTATAAAATTAGCCCTCTAGCGTCGGAGCGCTTCGTGGCAGAAATGAGAAGGACCATTCCTTTGGGGTACCCAGCTTTGATACCTATCCTTGAAAGTAGAGCATAAATGGTGCCTTTGTAAAGATGCATTTTTTAAAAGGTTTCTATTTAATGATTCTTTTCATGGAGTGTCATCATATAATAAACACTTTGGTTCAAACAGTCGCGCAAATAAATTGACCAATTGATTTGTTTGATGCGGAAAAATTGAGAGACGTAACATGATGATTGACGAAACCGATGAAAACGCGTTGGGTATCGTTTGACAACGTGTACTAGTATATTGCTTTAATATTGACGTCACATAGAGGGCGCGATTTATACGAAAAGGAGTATGAACTCAGGCTACTAGCCGATATGTCAAGATTTATTCTATTAGCACTTCACATGTATTTGCGTGAGACATGGTTTTGGATTAATTTATGAAACCCCAAAATTATGAACCATAGAGACAAGTGCTACAGGTGTATACAAATATGAAATGCAGAAGTCATTCTACATATTACAGTCACGCTAAAACGATCATTAATAAAAATTAAAATATTTCTTAGATAAACAAAAAAAAAGAAGTGCCGACTTTACTTGTGTGTTGCTTGAATCAGTAACAAGTTGTATAAATTATAGATGTAAAATGTCTCTATTTATTGTACTATTGCAAAACAATAATGCACAAATTGGTGTCAACACTGTGACTCGGCAACAAGATATTTGCATATATTTTCAGTCGATCAATGCTTCCTCCAAGTCTTCTTCGATTACTTCTGAAATTTACAATAGAACAAAAGATAATTGCACTATATACCATATACACAGAATATTCAAATGTTCTTACATAACGCGTGTATCACAGATTCCCCGGGGTCCTTCCCAGAGGTCTTTGTTTACAATCAAATTATGCAGTTATTTAAATAAAGCGAACAGTATATTCAACAATTAACCGTTTCACTCCCGCGGTTAAACATGAATAAATGTATTGCTCGGACGAATACAACACTCTGTCGGTAACCGGTCGAGAATGTCTCGTGTTTTTCACAACTTCGCGTCTTCTTTTGTTAAACTCACCTTTGATCAAAGACTTCAGGAATGATCTAACTTCATCGTCGACGTCATTCACTTTGTTGCTGATTCCGTGCCTGTTACAAGGGAAATGAAATTACAGCTATTCAATGTGTCATTGGCTGGGGTACACGTGATCTAACCTAATACACACAACTAAATAATTCCGAATAGCAGTCAAACAGTTGATTATTTGTTTAAAGTGATTGCTATTCAGGGTTGACAACGCTATTGCAAAAACAAAAAAACAAAAAAAAAACGTGCGTGCGTGAAAGCATCCTATTGCAAAGTAGTCCAATAGAGTTCAAACAAATGAACATACTAAAAACTACATATCGTATGACTCGTTATAATAAGTTAATTCCAACAACACAGAAGCCAGTAAACAATCGAAACAAATCGCCTTTCAAGTTAAAGTGAAAATAACATTCCAGAGAAAGCGAGTTAAAGTGAAAATAATATTCCAGAGACAGCGAGCTCGAGACTTACGTGCGTATGCCCATATAGTCACAAAAGGTCAAGGTGTGTGTAGATTAGGGAACGTAGAAAATATATTTACCCGGCGTTATCATTTATAGTTTTTTCCTCGATTCCATCCAGTCCATTCTCGGTGATATCTTTTGAACCATGACAGAACCTACTCATTTCCATTCCCGGGATACATCGTGATCGATAAAGTCTGGTGAGTAGCTTCTTGTCCAACCCGTTGGTTGGTTGACATAATATTACAACACATACTGTTAAACATAACAACACGCGGAGTAAACTAGCCATGATACTTGTAGGTTACTGTATCGATCAATGCAAAACAGCTCGAAAGTTGAGGGGAGAACACTACGGTAAACTACGGCGGCCGACGTATTTATGCCAAAAGGTTTACATAGCAACAAAGCCATAAACAAGAACACCAGCAAAAAGATGTTTGGCTGACGCGATAAAAAGTATTATCCAATCACAAACCGGGGTTAGTTTTCATAAATGACTGCAAGGAACAAAACTGGCATTGTTCCTTCATTCGAGGCTGCAAGTAAGAAAATAAATCACCCACATCCGAAACGAAACATATATCAACAATGGCGTGCCATGGGCAACGTAGACTTTGCTTTCACTTGGCCGTAAGAAGTATGGGAGTATCACATTCTCATTAATTCACGCGTGATCACGCTGAACCAATCCGAGTACACTGTGACAATAGCTTGTTGCTGTAATGGAACCCAAATTTGAAGAACCATACAACTGGTAAATAATACTGGTAAACATTCTAGCATTTGATTACTTATCTCTCCAAGCCAGCAATACTTTCTCTTAGTAGATATATGGAGGTTATTTCACCCAAATCATCGTCATTATACCTGGCGACAAAAACCGACCTTTAATACAATGTTTACTTGAAAGTTTCGCGCATAGAATTGTGGTCACTTATGTTATAGCACAAGCCTATGACATATTGGAAAAGATATTTTGGTTACTTCAATCAAAGTCAATGGAAACGAATATATTCATTTCCATATGTATGTACAATAGATACAAGAAAACGGATATTTCAAGTCAAATTTTTGCACAACATCATTTTTACACGAACAATTCTTTTTAAAATTCTAATTCAAAAGTAAACAGCTCTCACTGCGTATTTTGTAAAAGAGAAATTGATACGGTGTGTCAACGCTTCTGGTTTTGCGAAGCCGCATTTGCATTCTGGCAGGAATTTATTCTTTGAATCTTTGATAATTTTGAATGGGTTACAATTTTGAAAAAACCTGATATTTTTATTGAACAATTAATTATTTTGGGGAAAAGTTACATTGATTATTGTCACCGAAATCAGCTATTGAAATTGACATTGTATTTAAAATTTAACAATGTGAATGACTAGCCTCTGACAAAAATATGTTGGATAAACATGCACATACTTTTGAATAATTAGCATATTATGTAACATAACTAATCTGAACGAGATGTCTTTTTTTGTCTTTCGTACTTTTATATTGTGTATAATGGTCTGGGCTCTGTATGTATATCAGGTTAGGAATATATTCATGAGTATCCTGTAGTAAAAAAAAACAATACACAGGAACAATGTTTCACCACAAAAACTGCAAGACATGCCGATGAATGAAATGTTCCCTGCTATCACTCATTTTCGGTACGTTTTTTTTTCAAAAACATAATCTTCCCCAATCCAACTCTTAAATGCACAAATATCGCACCAAGATGAATAGAATATAAAGGTGGCAAATCAGTAAAAATTCCAGTATATCTCCCGCTTATTCGTTTCAAAGAGTAAACCACAAATGCGCTATTATTATGTTTATCCTGGAGGTGGAGCCAGGGTAGACTAGATTATTTCAGCCACAAGTTGCACTAAATTCCACATCATTTCGTCATCCACGAATAAAAATACACTTCTAAGTGTTGTTTTAAACTTTCCGGACATATCTTTTTATTTAGATTGTAATTGTTATACGATTATTTCTCACACACTTTTATTTTTTTTACAATGTTATTTTGTATGAAAATTATAACAGTATAGCCAACTGCAGTAACATGCTTCTTAACATACACGAAATATCCTTGGTCAACAAAAACCTGAATAGCAAATGGTACGTCAAAATAAAATCCAATTTAATGATGCAAATCACCAGAAAAATAATAAAAATAGAGAATGTATTTTCAATAAATTGAAAAAAATAAATACACGAGATAATAAGAGAAATGGTAACGGAAAAAAAATAGTTCAAAGGTTTATTTAAAAATATTGAACTCAGGAAATTGCTTATTAAGTCTATGTAACCATTCATTGAGAATTGGCACAGGACGCCATACTCAATTGCTAGTAAACGAAAATATGTGTGTTCACTTTAACACAGATCAGATAGTAGTTGAGCAACATTTTGTGATACCCCCCCCCCCCAACAAAAAGACCAACACTGAACAACTTTATTTACGGAAGCAAGGAAAATACCCACGTTGTGTGCATTATTATTGCCCACTCCAATAGATCAATGGGCTCAATTATCACTGGTGACGTCATCGACTCGTCTTCTGACGGAGTAATGACGTATGCATAAAAGATGTTTGTCACCTACTTCAGAGCCCGTTTTATACCCGATATAAAGGGCATTCAGCCGAACATACAAGCCGTTTTTATCCCTGCAAAGAACAGTAAAAGCCAGATCTCTGCTTTCATGTAAGTGATTAAATAAATAAATGTTTTGTATATTTCTTGGTTAATGACTTTCGCAAAAATATGTGTTTACAATTGTATAGAATATTTTAACTGGTTTTCCTCCTACCACTGACCAGATATGTTTGCATTTAAAGTTTTGGTAATTTTACTTTGTTCTTACAAAATTCATCAAATATTAGTGAGAGAATTAAAATAATAAAACAAAATAATAAAAGGTTGGCTATTTTGTAATATTTTCTTTGTTTATATATTGTAACTTATCCTCTCTTAATATTTTGTTTAATATGTAATCATCTTCAAATTTGTATTTTCGCAATGTAAATCACTACGGTAATAAAAAATCGTTAATTTTGTCACGGGGATGAGGAACGTGACTCCAAAAATATATATGTATATATATATATATATATATATATATATATATATATATATATATATACATCATTACCGTACTATTCAATTAATGTATGAGTATCTTAGTATTGTCCCAGTGTCAAAGTTCAAATGATAGAATGACGTATTGTGAATTATAAATCATCGGGGACATGACTTCCGGGATACTCTAAAAATTAATTCGCCTATATATGAATTCTATGGAGACCCACAGTTACAACAAGTCGCCATGTCAGATGTATCTAAGTACGTAATCTCCCCCGCGGGATGTGCTATATTTGAACCTGACAGATGAATCATGATCGTTAATGGAGACAAGTAGTTGTTTCAATCAGAATTATACTTGCTGCTCTCAAGGGAAAATGCATTCTAGCGAATTTATCAGAAAAATTCTTAATTTGAAAAATCGGGTTGCAGTGAGATTGAAGATTTTGTAGAATAATTCTGTTGGCGAAAAATAAATATGCGTTGCACAATATAAACGAATACATAAACTCCTAATAAGATACTATTCAATGTCTGGGGATAATTAAAAACACAATTTCTAAAAGTGGGTATAATGATTCAGAATATCCCGGCGAACCGACTGAACTGTTGAAGTCTTAGTGCATAGTTCAGTACTCGCGTTTTCTACAGTAAGAAAGTGAACCCCCTTATGCTGAAATAGGCACTCCAAAAAACATCGACCCACTGTTGATTTTAGTTAATTTTCCGTTTAGCTTCGCATCTAATCTACTGATATATTCAACCGAGATGAGAACCGCACTACATAAAACATCAAATCATTAGATATTTAACATAAAATAAGAGTTCGCTTCGTCTTTCCATGTTGTAAAGTGCTTATCCAAAGACAACCATTGCCGACATGACGACATTTGACAGCAAATTTTTATTTTGGACCACGACGACAATATGATACACATTTGTTTCAAATGTTTTTTCAAGTCTGAATTAATTTTACTATGATATGAGAAACGAATCTTTGATGTAATAAGATAAACTTCAGCAATGATTTATATCTGTGTTCATTTTTCAAAACATCGGTAAGGGCGCAATCAGTAATGACGACCTCCATCTATGGGGTACGTCACTCACTCAATTACCAAAAGAAATTGAGAGAAAAGGATATTTTACTGAGAAAAAACATTTTAATTATCCAATGAATCTTGCGATAATTATCATGAAAAAAAACTATTTACTAGTCCAGGTTGAAAGGCAAGTCACCATTGATCAACAGCATTGCTATAATAAAACAAATCGGATATGGGGTTTTCATGTTTCAGATTTATTATTATTTTTATAACAATTATAAATTATTTTACTTTTTTAAATGTCTTTCGGCTGCAATTAGAGATCTTTTTTAGTAGCCTTTGGTGAATTTGTTTGTGGTGCCTAAACTCCTAATCGGTGCACAAAGTTTGGTGCAATATGTAAAACCAGTTCAAACGGAGGGAGGCGGAAGTTCATTGTTTCACTTAGCTTCTGAAATTGTGCAACACGTGTGCATCTATTTTGGGTGTTCATTCATTGTGTAGACTTTTTTTAACAGCTTCCCATAAATATGGCTGCAAAATTCATGGGAGAAACAAATAAATGTAAATTATTATTTCCCGTTATGGCTTTCTAAATTCTATTTTGAAAGACATTATTTTTATATTTTGATTAAATAGGTGCATATTCAAATTGGGATTTCTTGGGTACCGAGTTTTATACCAGGTTGATATTTGATGAGCATGTATCTGCGAAGCAGGTTGTTATATTGGTTATTGTAATTTTCTCCATTATATGCGAATTGGATTTTTTTTTCATACTATGTCAGAAATTTCTCATACATTTTCCATGTAAATTGATTTGGATTATAAATTAAAAACCTTTTGACCTTTTCTTTGCGAATTTGTTTATGGCGATATATAGTGAGTCATTGGTATGTAATTTAAATTCTCATAGCATCATGAAGTGATTGCTGAATTTTTTGAACTAAACCTTTGAACATTTTTTCAAGAACTACCAGCCCGTTTGCTTTGATATTTGGCATGATGGTGTCTTAGGTGGGCGTTTGTTCATTTCGTGGCGATATCAGTTATTTCCTATTTCGAGAAAATATTTTTATCATTTTTTTTGTGAGAAATAATATTCTCGACTTATTTTAAAATCAACCCAATTGCTTGGAAACTTAATATGTAGGGGCACTTAGTCGGTGTTTTTGTGGTCAGAAGTTCAAGGTTATAATATTTATTTATGTAAATTCAGTATCAAACTACAGTGGGGAATAGCCAGTAACTTCAAACCTGGGGCACATGTTTCTCATGTAAACCACATGACACGACAAAAGACTGGGGACTCAT